TATTAAAAAATTATAAGGGGCACCTGGCTGGCTCAGTCGGTGGAGCATGCAACTCTTGATCTCGGGGTGTGAGTTTGAGCCCCCATGTTGTGTGTAGAGATTATTCAAATAAACTTTACAAGAAATGTACATATAAATAAAAATAAAAAACACATTTGACTTTCCTTCCTTGCTTTTCATACAGATGTTTCCTTTCACCCTTACTATTTTTAAGTAGTTTTAATTACATATATTAATTAGAATTCTTAACCCTTGGAATCCTGAATTTCTTATGAAAACAGAGAAGCAACCAATTGTGGACTGTTACACTGGTATTCCATGGACTGGCAAATTTATAAATTTCATAATTTCTAGTAGTGTGTCCCTCCTCATAGCAAATTTCTCAGTGTGGCACAAAACATACTTCCCGATAGACTCAAACATCCTTAGTTCCTCTGTATAAAAAGCCAAAAGTAAATAAACTTAAGTTCAATAATTAGTATTCTAGTATTTTATCTTATTTGGAAATGGTGTAGATACTCAGTGAATATCCGTTATTTAACCTTAGTATAACTTTCTCCTAGTTTCCAAGCAGCGCCCCTACCCCCAACCCCGGTTTCTTTTTATCCCTTCTGATAAGAATTAAGTGAAGCGGGGGGGGGGGGGGGGGGGGGAGGATCGGAAGGGGAGACGAATCATGAGAGACTATGGACTCTGAGAAACAAACTGAGGGTTCTAGAGGGGAGGGGGTGGGGGGATGGGTTAGCCTGGTGGGTATTAAAGAGGGCATGTACTGAATGGAGCACTAGGTGTTATATGCAAACAATGAATCACGGAACACTACATCAAAAACTAACGATGTAATGTATGGTGATTAACATAACATAATAAAATAAAATTTAAAAAAATTAAAAAAAAAAAAGAATTACCTCCCTGAAGTCTGCATTTCAAAGAAATGGCTCTGGGTACCTAGAGAACAGAAGTAGAACATTTACAACTCAAAGGCACAGGGAAAAGATATAAATTCCATCAAAAAGGATTTTTATTCCCTAAATCCAGATGTTTTACAGTACCCTGCAAGTCTTTTGAGATGAACAGGAGAGGTTTGGGTATGGTAAAATGGTTAGTGTGCTTTGAACCATTTCTAGAGCCACATTTCTGTTCTTGTAAAGATGAGATTTATCAGGACAGGACAGTTGTTTTTAATTCCTCAAAGAACTGGGTTGCAACCTGAATGATATCAACAGGCTGACTGACCCTCCCATCCACCCGCATGATCTTCAATTTGCGGCTTTATTTATTATTCATTAGGGGGATTTCTTTTCTTTTCTTTTCTTTTTTAAGATTTTATTTATTTATTTGACAGAGAGAGAGAGCACAAGCAGGGGGAGCAGCAGAGGGAGAGGGAGAAGCAGGCTCCATGATGAGCAGGGAGCCCAATGCGAGACTCAAACCCAGGACCCTGGGATCATGACCTAGGCCGAAGGCAGACGCTTACCCGATTGAGCCACCCAGGCGCCCCCATTAGGGGGATTTCAACTAAGATGGAAATTAAAAGATTCTCACACTCTAGATTAAGAGCTATGTACCTTTATGACTTAGTAAATCCTTTCACAGTGGCTTGGGAATGTTTTTCTTTCCCTTTAGGTACATAGTTTCACTTTAGGGAAAAAGGCCTTTTTAAAAGTTCCTATCAGGCTCTGAATATCAGCTTCCAATCTGGCCAACTTCTGACCACAGAGCTCATTAAACATCCTTTCAAATATCTTATTAATACTTCTTAGCTGGACAAACAGTAAAAATTTTTCTTCTTTTAAACCAGAGGTATCCCTATCAGATGACTCAAAACCCAAACTTACAAACCTTTTATGACTTAACCATGGACAAAAGTGCTCCCAAGGAGGGTGCAAGAGATACTACCTCCCGAGACCCTGAGTTACTCCCAAAGAGAACCCAAAAGGAGACTTCGGACAATCCCCCTAATGGCTGAGCATGGCTGGGAGGACACTTGCTGCATATGGGGTGCAACCCATATTTCTGTCCAGCCATAGTTTTAGGGCCTCCGACCCTACAGTTGAGTTGCCTGCACTTGCAAGAACTAATGACCTGTGTGTCCCGATAAGCAGAAAAGCCAAGCCAGTTTTCAGGACACAAAATGAGACAAAGGGGAAAGCAATAGCTGTCTCCAGGAAGAAAAGGATTGATAACCAGTGGGCACCCAAAACAGAAATTCATGAGCCACAATTCAAAGATCTAATTCTCAAATGTTTTTCTCTTGTCAATCTGAATTTGGAAAGGAAGGGACTGCATGAAGTTTACCTTCCTCTCTCACCCAGGCACCACAGAGAGAGATCCAGGAGAGCTAACTTGGGTAGGAATTCTCACCCTTTGCTGGCTTCTGCCAGTTTTCTCAGGATCCCGTCTGCAGGCTCTGGAGTGAGTGGGGTGTCCCAGGAGGTCTCATTCTGGTCACCAGAAGTTGCAGAGGAGGAAAAATGATTTTCCCCCACCTTTTAATGTGAGTGTTTGGCTAAGACCCTTTTTTTCTCAAGGGAACCGCATAAATGGATACATTCACCTAAATTAAGAATTCTCCACTATGGCCACTGGCATTGAAGATTATCTTTGGTAAGGTTAACCTGCTTGTTCAGCTTTAACACAATATTTTATTCAGCTGAGGCCTCACACTGGGCCCAGCCCAATTCAAGTTGGACCTAGTCTGCCCCCAGACCCAGGCCAGTGTTTAAGTTGAACCCAGTCAGTTTCTGGACCCAGTCCCTAAAAAGAAATGCTTGAATGAAGTCCAACAGTTTGGAATACAAACGCTGTGGAGCTAGGACCTAAGAGGGACTTGCCCATGAGCCTGTAGAGGCCCGAGAAAGCCTCAAGCTCCGTGGGCTGGGTGGGGACCTGCATCCCTTGCTCCTTGCTCCTGAGGGGGGGGTGGGCAGGTAGAGGTCTCCTTCCTTTGTTCCCTCTTCTGATACCAGAACTATTAAAAGATAAACTGAAGCATATTAAATAAATAGGTTAAGAGTTTATTTGAGGAAAAATCTATTCAAATCAGGCAGTGTCAGGTCAGAGGATTTAGCAGCACTCCATCGACAAGCTCAGGGAGCGGCTTTCACAGAGAAAAAGGTGGAAGCAAAGCAAGGAAGTTTTTGGTGTTTGTTTGTTTGTTTTAAGATAGTTTTTTTATTGATTTTTGGTAGGCCCTATGCCTGCCATGGGGCTGGAACTCGGGACTCTGATATCAAGAGTCACATGCTCTCCTTACTGAGGCAGCCAGGCGCCCCAGCAAGGAAGTTGTTGATATAGTTTAAAGCCTAGTTCCTTGTGATGAGTTGTCTTTACCATTTTAATTTGGTATCTTTGTGGCATTGACGGGGCTTAGATTTGGGTTTGCTTGCTTGCAGAAACCATCCTGGGCCTTAAAGCCACCTCTGTGTAAGGGCTTCCTTGTTGAATTAATTTAACCATAGTTCCCAAAAGGATTTTCTACTTGGTTTACTCTGATGCTTGCTTCTGAGCCTATGGTGAAAAATTCTACTTTCTGAGTCTGGATGGGTGGAGGGAGGGCCTGTGATGATGTCAAATCACAGTGTTTCCTCCACCCCTCAGGAAGTTAAAGTCCACTGGCAGGAGTGACCACATTGGCTCCAAACGCACGGCTCCAACCGCACCGACTTAGAATGCTTGCTTGTGTTCACAGTGCAGCTGAATGAAATGCCTTAAAAAGAAGAGTAACTTTGTCGAAAATCCTATACTTTCTCTTCCCAGATTGCCTCATCGGTGGATTCCTTTGCTGAAGACCACATCAAAGGTAAAATAAAGACTGGATGGTGTGTTGGGGTTGGTTTTTTGCCATGTTTTGAATGACCGGCATCTTCCCCCAGCCCCCCATCCCCCTCCCCTGGCCTGCTCACCTGACAGCCTGCCCTGTCCAGGAAGCAACAGCCTGCCTGCCAACCTGACGGAGGGAAATAAAGAATGCTGCATGCTTTCCTCCGGACATTTACATTTCTCTTTGCTATTTCTCTATTTTTTTTTTTTTTTTTGCTGAACCACTTGTGAGAAAATAGCAGGCTCTATGATATCTCGCTCCTGAGTGCTTGCTAGCATGCAGCTCCTGAGACCAAGAACATGCTCCTAGCAGAAGCCTGGGTGGCTCAAGACTACGACCACATGGTCTACTAGAAAGTCCAGAATTCAGATTTCCCCAAGTGATCTCCTAAAGTCCTTTACGACTTGTTTCCTGGTCCAGGATTCATTCGAGGAGCGGTCATGACATTTTTGTTGTCACATCTATTTAGTTAGTCCCTTAGAATATTTTCATTTTAGCAATTGCTTTGTAAAGGGAATTCCTAAACCCGAGGCTTCTCCTCCCTTCCTTGTTTCTGTAAAGTCAAGAGCTCACCCAGAGGACCAGAGGGTGATGCACAACTTCCCCTGGGATGTGGCTTGCAGACCAAGGCCACGGAAGCCAGTGCTAAGAGCGGCCACCTTACAGTGAGATCAGGCTTTGTAGTTAATTCCTTTGCAATTCCTGCCTGAAATAAACGGAATGGTCATCTTTCAAATGCCATTCAGATCTCTGTAATGGCTTTGATGTCCATCAAATCATGGCTTTTCATTAACTTTTTCTCACCTCTCCCATGGTGCTGCCTGGATTGTGATTATGGAAAACAGGGATAGGGAGACATAGTCAGGCTGACTTTTTATGTAACTATGGACATGCCCCAGGATAACTGTCAAAGCCATCTGGACTTGCTAGGGGAAGCTAGGCAGCAGGCCTCCAGAAAAATCCCCAAAGATGGTACAAAGCCCTGCTTGCATTTTTGAGGTTGAGATCAGAGCCTGTAAACAATTTAGAAATGAGGAAATCATCCATTTTTAAAGGGGTGGGCTAAAAAAAATTACAAAGGGTTTTATAGCACAGAGAAAAATAAAGTTTAAAAGTTTAGATGAGTTTCTTGTCAACTGAATCAACTGTCTTGGTATTGTCACAGAGACCAACCACCATGATGCAGAGGGCAGGGAAGGCCCGACCTTACACTAAAGCCCTGGACGGAGGTTGGGGATGGATTATTGTATTTCATTTCTTCCTGGTAAGAATTTACTTTCCCCTTTTCTACTGCCCAAAAGAGGGCTCCTCTGGAGAAAGGCTCAGAGCAAAGCCAGGAACTGCCAATAGTTGCCAAAGTCAGTGGCCCACCCTGAACTCAGAAGTTGAAAAAATGTCCTCCGTGAGTGAAAGACAAAGTGTTTCCCGACAGTCCCCTCCTCGCTGCCGTCCCAAAACCTACAGAATGTTCCAGCCACCAGCAGCAGCTCCACCCTGGCTGCATGGCAATTAGGATGCATAGATAATCATACATTTAAGCACCCCAGAAGTAGCAGTGGGAGGTGCTAAAAAGTGCTGTTGGGTGGGTTCCCAGCTCAGCCCAGCATACACATGGCAGCATCCTCCCTCTCTCCTAGGGGATGGGGACATTTTCTCTCTGTTCTGCCTACTGTCCACTTCCCAACCCATCCTCACAACCGTAACTTATGCTAGAATTAGGCCCAGTGTGAATTTCTGATATGTCTGGAAAGGGAGAGAAGTATGTGGATTCTGAAACTGGAGACTGATTTTTCTCCTTCATCTGTAAGCACCTGGACTGGGCACTCCATTTCCTAATTAACTTTTCCCTCATCCTCCCAGAGGCTCTTAAGTTGGTTGTGAGACAGTGGTGATCTGAAATGTCTGCATGGCCATTCTAGAATACTGGTGAGTCCCATCCCAGCTGTGCCCCAAACAAGCCTGTAACAGTGGCACCAGCTCCCACATTCCGCATAAGTGTTCCCAGATCAGTTAACTTTGAGAAGGACTCACGAAGACACCCTATCCCTCCTGTCTTCCTCCCCTGCTCCGCCCTACAGTAAGAAGCTCACAAAGACAGGACTGCGGGTATTGGTGACTACTAATAATCCTGCAGTCCACAATGTGATACAAGAGCTCCATAAACAGGACAATGGGAAAACATCATACCTCCTCCTCCCTAGTGACAGAGGACGGGAAAGTAGCGTCCCAGGGCCTCAGGCAGGATTTATGTAATACAAATCTCCTAACTGGAGGACTATTTGTTAAACATTAGCTTCCTGACCAAAGAATGTATACTCATTTTTTTTCTCCCAGAAATGTTACTAATAAGGAAGCTAAGGATGTCCTAAATCTGAGAGCCCTCCCCAAATCACAGGCTTTGCAGAACTAGCATCACTGGTGAGGGTCTCCAGATCTCCCACCTTTCTCCCCCGTAACGAGCCTTACTTTTTTGACATTCTCCTCTGGGGAGAGAAGCTATTTGCCAACATAGTTGCTGGTAAGAAAGACGCCTAATAATGAGATTATTAAACAATGTTCAGTGTTCCACTTTTCTGGGTTCAACAGTGCTGATGAAAGCACAAAAGAATATACTGAGTCCTCAAGTGTTAATAATTAACTCCAGCTAAGTGATTGCAGTGGTATGTGGATACTTATAGGACTATGGTTTTCTATCTGCGTAAGTTACAAGTATATTTTTCTACAATAGATGAGTTTCTAAAAAGATGAGTGAAAAATCCTGGAGCATGTGGCTAGCACAACTGAGAAACTACATTATGGGGGGGCGCTGAAACACTGTAATTTAGTGAAACAACTAAACAAAACAAGGTGCTGGAGTATGCAATATATTCATACAAACACCCTCAGGGGCACATTCAAGTCAGGTGTGAACTCCGTACCCCTTTCCCTAGTCCTGACCTCACACCCTGGGACCCCCGTGTCCCTCCATATACAACCATGCACACTTAATTTGAAAGATTACTCAAAAATAAAATCTTCAAAAAGAGTAAAAGTTTATTTTTTTTAAAAAAGATTTTATTTATTTGACAGAAAGAGAGAGCATAAGCAGGTGAGAGGGAGAAGCAGGCTACGGGGCTTGATCCCAGGGGCTCAATGCCAGGACCCTGGGATCATGACCTGAGCCAAAGGCAGACACTTAACTGACTGAGCCACCCAGGCGTCTCAAAAGAGTAAGTTTTTTAAAAAGGACTCATTCTAACTTACCACACTTTGTAACTATATATTTGCATGAGTTTTGTTGTTTTTTTCTGTATTCAGTCTCTCACTGGACTGAGTGCCCCATGATGGCAGGTACCATGTCTCACCACCATTTGCACACCATTGTAAGACCAGCCCCTCATAGTAAACAGCCTGGCACATTGTAGGCACTCAATAAATACCTGTTGGTGGATGGGTAGGATGGATGGAGGGAGGGATGGATGAACTGACTGATGGACACACTTATGAATGAATAAAGCAAGTGATTATGATGAGATTGGAGATGGGTAGGGCCTTGTAGGGGCATGTTTAAAACACTGGTTCTTACCCTGAGGCTGAGGAGCTAATGAAAAAAAGCAAGCAAGGGAAAGGATGGGATCAGATGTGTATTTCAAGAAAATAGCTCTGCCCGCAGGGTGGATGATGATCGGCAGGGGACAGGCCTGGAAGCATGCAGATCCACTGGATGGGTGTTGTGATCCTCCAGGTGAGCAAAAAAGGCCCTAAATTAAAGCAATAGCAGTGAGGATGGAGAAAAAACAGGTCCGTGCAATAGGGAGGAGACAGACCTATAAAATTTAGACAGGAACAGAGTATCAGGATGAAAGGGAGTCAAGGAGTCCTGGGTTGTTGGCTTGGGCAACTTGGAGGATAATGCATCACTCACTGAGTTGGAGGACACAAGAAGGGAAGAACATCTGAAGATGCTTGGATGGCTTAATCCTGGGCAGGGACCGTGGGACCTGTGATGTAAGCAGTAATGTGTTCAGCAGCCCACGCGCAGGTGGAGCACGGGATCTCACACTGAAATCTGTGCGTCATCGGCATACACTGGTTGGCTGGAACCAACAGGCTGGATGGGGAAAATCGCCAGGGAGGGGGAGAAGAGCAACTCAGCAGAAGCCTGGGGAAAACTGATGTTAGGGGTCGGGTGGCGAGTAGCCCACGGAGGAAACTAAGAAGCAGTGGGAGATGCGGGGATGCAGCATCACAGAAGCAAAGGCAGAAATGTCCAGGAGTTAAGGGCGATGAACAGATGCTGCCTTGAGGTGAAATGCCACAGAACTGATGACAGGGTTTGTTCAGCAACAAGGAAGCTTCTGGTAGCCTTGCTGAGCATCCCTACAGTCAATGGTGGGATGTGAGGAAGCAGAGATAACAGACTGTTCTCTAGGTTTGTGTAGTCCAGGAAGGAAGAGCTGGGGCGATGAGAGAGAGACCCCGAGTAGAAGGAAGTTGTTGTTAAACAACAATTACCCCATCATTTCTGACCAAGCCTGATGCTCTCTATTCAAAAGGGGCCCCTTTGGCTGATCCAGTCCCCTTTCCCAAGACAATATTCTAATGAGAGTGACCTGGTGAGGGAGCTCTTACTGTGTATGAGTGTTTGTGTGTCTGTGTGTGTCTGGGGTGCTCTTAAAGATACTTTATACTTAGGGGTGCCTGGGTGGCTCAGTTGTTAAGCATCTGCCTTCGGCTCAGGTCATGATCCCAGAGTCCTGGGATCAAGCCCCACATCCGGCTCCCTGCTCTGCGGGAAGCCTGCTTCTCCCTCTCCCGCTCACCCTGCTTGTGTTTCTTCTCTTGCTGTCTCTGTCAAATAAATAAATAAAATCTTAAAAAAAAAAAGTTGTCTTTAAAAAAAAATACTTCAAAGATATTTAAGAAAATAAGGGGGCTGGGTCAGCCACAGGAGAACTTCTAGGGGCTTTTATTTTTGGGGGAGCCCATTTACAATGTCTGAGGTGGACTCTGGAACAGGACTGAAACCCACCTACCTTAGTCGAAAGCCAGGATGAAGTAATGAAGTAGCAGAATGTAGATATACCTAGTCTGCTTGGATAACTAAAGGAAAATTCAGATCTTGGGAAAAAGAGTTTTGATATCGGAGTCAAAATAGAAACAAAGTTGGAAGGTTACAAGTTAAGGGAGGGAGGCAGAGCTGATGCAAAGGCTGTGTCCTTGGCTTTCTTGACACACAGTGGAAAGCACAGACCCACTTATCACAGACAAGTCCTATCCACTCACTGCTGCTATGCCCAGACATCAAGGACAGACCAGAGAGGAAAGGTCCTAAACGGAGGGGGGGGGGGCGGGGAAGGACACAAGAAAGGAGAGGTCAGTCAGCACTATCTAGACACCAGCATGGAACCATGTTCACAGAAAAAAGGGAATGAAATTTTACAGAATGATGATGCCTCATTGTGGTGTCCCTTGCTCATGAGAGGCTGCAATCACCACTCTGCATTCCGAACTGAGAAAAACAAGTGGGGGCCACCTGTGGTTTGCTATGCTCTCTAGCTTCATTTCCTGATAGAAGCAACTCTGAGGAATAGGAGGATTATAAATTGCCTGAACAAGGGCCTGATAAAATGTCTTTTTCACTTGTGAATGTAGAGCCCAGGTGTCCGTGGCATTGTTCACTCTGAATAAGGACAATTTTGTTGCTACTATCAAATCAAAATGGGAAAAGTACATTAAGGGACCCCCTTCTCGCCACGCCCAACGTTTGCAACCTCGGAGCACCACTGGTTCTTAGTCCCTTACTCCAGACAAGAAATAATACTAGTTTGAAACAAGAGTCAAATGAAGGGGATTGAGGAGGAAGCTGTTGGTTACGTAGCACGCGGGGGCGGAGGGAAAGAGAATCCTAAGGGGCAGCAGGTCTCCGACGTGGGTGAGCAAGTGGATGGTCCCAATGAACGGAGAAATGAAAAGACTAGGTGTGGGGTAAGGGAAAGAAGGGTCTAATTTCGGATGGGTTGACCTGAATTAGATACAGTGGTCATACAAACGAGTCTGAAGCTCTTGAGAAAGCAAAATGGTTACGCGAGGTAACAAAATCAGTGAACAGTTTGAGTCTTAAGTGCTATCCTTTACCTGAATTTTCTCAATCTTCAGTTCTATGAGTGTAACATTTCCTTTATCTTCATTTTACAAAAAAGAAAGCTTAACTTCTGTGAAGTGTTTGCCCAAAGTCACACCTCTCATAGGATGTGGAGCCAGGATTCAGGCCAAGGCCGGCTGACCGCAGAACAGCACTTGTAACCATGACATTATGAATACGTGGGTGGTAACTTAAACCTCAAGTGAATGATTGTCTACAGACCAGTTATAGAGTGAGATGAGTGAACGACAGGGGGTAATACTTACCAGGCAGACAGATAAAGTGGAATTGGTGAAAGGAAGCCCCAGGTCTGTGGCTGGTCAGCGAAGCGTGGCCAGGTTGAAAGCGGAGAAAGTGGCCTTGGAAAGCTAAGGCCACGGAAAAAAAGAAGGGGGAAGCTTGAAAGCACCTGAAGACAGAAAGTGCACGCGGCTCCCGTGCTAAGTGCCTACAGACCCTGGCCCGGTAGCCTCCCTTCAGGTTCCCCCTGCTGACCCCTGCTCTTCACTGCCCCCAGGGTAATGGGAATTCTAGGAAACAAATGTTAATAGGCCACAGAAAGAAACGTGACCTCAAAAGGGATATTCCCTCCTAGTGGAAGGGAGAAGGGTGGTGCTGGCAAGGAGGGTTAGTTGGGACAAAAGAAAAGTATGGGGCATATAACCAACCATAAGTGACCCTCCAGCCTGTTTACCCTTGCTGTTCTGGCATAAATTAATAGTGTTCCTTTCTGCCCTCAAGTATTTCCATTTGGACGATATATGGCCTCCCGATTTATATATCAAGTGAGGAAGGGCACTCAGTTTAAAAGCAAAGTTAAAGCAAAGCTCATCTATGAACCGATGGGAACAATTCATCTTTTGGACCAACGTGCTTCTCTCACAAGAGTTAAATGCCATTAGCTGTCTTTAAGGGATGCGATTCCGACAGAACAGTACAGTGACTGGTCTGGAGTCAGTCTATCTGGGTTCAGATCTCACCTCCGGCACCCCCATCTTGAGTGACTTTTAATCTCTCTAAACCTCGCTTTCCAAAAAAAAAAAAAAAAAAATTGATTCCATAGCCTTGGAATGAGGATTAAAGGAGATGCTTTTGTGTCAAGTACCTAGACACTCCAAGAGGATGGCCGCCCCACAAAATACAAAATGTATAACGTGGAACCAACAAACTGATAAATAGCGGTGACCTGGGACCAGCAGGGTAGGGTCATAAGAACGAGCAGCTGTAACCTTCTCTGTAATGGCTCACTCACCACCCGACTTGGACTCTTTGGTCTGCTTTGATTTAGGTAAACATGTTTGTGATGGGGATGATCAAGACGTTTGCAATTTTCTTTGTGGTTTTCCAAGAAGAACTTGGAAGCACCTCAGAGCAAACTGGTTGGATTGGATCCATCATGTCATCACTTCGTTTTTCTGCAGGTATAAAGCTGGCAATAAGCTTGCTGTCCAAGGAAAAGCACCACAAAGGGCAATCCCGAGAAGATTCATCTGTCAGTCATTTAAGACTGAAGCACTGCTAACACTCAGATTCATTAATAGGTAAAGCTTAGAAAAGTTACAGACTTGAAGTGTTTAGCCTCTACTTGATTTGACAAAATCAGAAGAAATAGGGTTCAAAAAGAGCTTAAGAATCTAACTATTTAAGTCCATGATTCAATTTCTCACGCTTTGTTTCTTTCACAGTGCCTGAACACGGGTTCAGTGAGCCAGTCTCTCTGGGAAATCAGACCACAGGGTTCTTAAGCCCAACATCTAAGCATATTCAAAACAACACAGAGAACCAATTCCTCTTCCTTTGCTTCTGTTTGGGGCTAAAACATGATAGGGTAGATTAATGATCGAACCTTGTTCTAGCCAATCTCATTTTGTTTTGTTTTTTTTTTTTAAGATTTTATTTATTTATTTGACACAGAGAGCGAGAACAGGAACACAAGCAGGGGGAGTGGGAGAGGGAGAAGCAGGCTTCCCGCGGAGCAGAGAGCCCGATGCGGGGCTCAATCCCAGGACGCTGGGATCATGACCTGAGCCGAAGGCAGGAGCTTAACAACTGAGCCACCCAGGCACCCCTGTGGTGTTTTTTTGTTTTTTTTTAAGGTTTTACTTGTAAGTAATCTCTATACCAACGTGGGGCTCGAACTCATGACCCTGAGATTGAGTCACATGTTCTTCTGACTGAGCCAGCCAGGCGCCCCTTGTTTTGTGGTTTTATCAAACCTCCTTATTTACAATCCTCTTTAAAACAAACAACTCTTTTTCCAAAAAGCACAATAGTGTGGGCCTGGGAATATTATGAAACCCAATACAGACACCTTTCTAAAGGATATACAATACTCCAAAGTCAAGTCCTCTTGTTTTCCTTCAGTTGCTCATTTAAATTGCACATCAGAAGATAAGAAATGCCAGAGCGTATTTACCTGTACTTGCCTTTCTTCCTTTTTCTGAGGTCCCCTGGTTGCCATTACTTGTGACATAATTGGAGAGAAGACTGCCTCCATTCTTGGGGCTTTCCTTGTTACTGGTGGATATCTGATCAGCAGCTGGGCTACTAACATTCCCTTTCTTTGTGTGACTATGGGACTTTTACCTGGTGAGTTCATGGTAAAAATAAGACTGTAAAAGATGGAACTAACAACCTTCCCTTTTACTGTCTTGTCCATGGGCCCAAAAGGCCTACTTAAATTATCTCAGTTCCAGGAGAGTATCTCATCTGGTACCAAGCCACTTCATGTGATTCCAAGCTACTGTTTTTCTTTTTAGGTTTGGGTTCTGCTTTCTTGTACCAAACAGCTGCTGTGGTAACTACCAAATACTTCAATAAACGATTAGCTCTTTCTACAGCTATTGCCCGTTCTGGGATGGGACTGACGTTTCTGATAGCACCTTTTACAAAAGTTCTGATAGATCTATATGACTGGAGAGGTAAGTCATTCTGTGTCTGAACCATCAACTCCACAAGGTATGTTCAGCTCTTTCCCTCTAATGAGTGTAAGTGAAGACTTTTTGAGCCAAGGAAGAAATAAGCAGGATTTCTAAAGTAGAGTAAACCTGTGCCTCCCCTTCCTTGGAGAACACACAGCAGAAGACATGTTGAACTACTTGCAGGCTTCGCCACAGACCACCCAAGCAACTCAGACTTCACACGGTTCAGGTCTGAGGGGATGGAGGCCATTCTGTGAAGCTGGCAAAACACCTTGCAGGGAAAGTGATACTCCTGAGGACACACGGATTCCCTCCTCCTCTTCTACCACTAAAGCACTCACTTTTCAAATACTCTCTTAAGAAAAAATTCCACATTAAAAAATACCTCATCCATCTGACTAAAGTAGACCGAGAAAAAGAAGGGCGTAAACAGAGCATTATGTTCCTTAATCTTTTATATACCATCATCTATAAATTTTTCACAAACAAATGAAAACCATTCACTCCACAATTTTGTGCCTGACCTAAAACATTCGGATTAAAATAATCTTAAATTACTGGGAAAATATACATATATGTACATGTACATATATAGGAATATATACAAACCTATTTCTACCTACAGAGTCTTTCTGTTGACGCTTTCCTTTCCCAAGTGAAAAACTACCAGTGGTTTCATGGTAAACAGAACCAGCTGGCAAATCTGTAAGACAGGACAGCAGAATCTACAGCCAATTCCATCTCTCAAAGCACCATACACAACCCACAGCTTTGGTCAGACCATGCTGAAACCAAGCAACTACTCAGCTTCCAAGGCAAGACTGGCGTCTGTCTTCTTTCAAGGAAATTAGAAATGGCATGAGATGAAAGGCTGGCCCCTCTCCTAAGGCAGTTTCCAAATGACTCTCATCATCTAACTCTAGAATTCTATATTTTCTATCCTTAAATCTATATCCCCACTTCAGGATATCTTAAATCCCTACTTAAAACACACCATAATTTTCTAACATTTCAAATATCCACCCCCCCACACTCCCCCCCCCAAAAATTTTTTTTCCTCTCGCACAAATAACACTCTCTCCTTCCACGTCATCTCCTGGTGCAGCTTTCTGGTTTTCTATTTTCAAAGGACGCCCTGTTTTCACAAGGATCCAGTGGTGTGTAGGGCTAAAAATGAAGTCAGCAGATTTAGATACTTCAGTTAAATTTAGGGGACAAAGTAGTGTTTTCAGGAATCACTGCACTGTGACTGAATATATTTGTGGTGGGGCCCCTTCTGAGCCTAAGAACACAGAGTATTGTGAAATGAGAGGGGTCATTTTTAACCTAACTTCTCACTTTCTCTCCCCCATTTAGGTGCCCTTATACTACTTGCAGGGATCACACTGAATTTGGTGCCTACTAGTATGCTCCTAAGACCCATCCATATCAAAAGCGAGAACAATTCTGATATTAAAAATAAAGGCAGCGGCTTATCTGCAAGTAATCCAGGGGCAGTGGGTGCGACAGAAACGTCATCCTGCAATGAGACACAAGAAGCCACCATCAGGGACAGGGCTATGCAAAAGGCCGGACAACCCGGTACAAGTTTAACAGTCTCACAAAACAGAGAGTTCAACAACGAGCCTAACAGGGACAGTTATGAGAAAGAGGCTATTTCACGGAGCTGTAAACAAAAACTCTGTGACCCCTCCCTTTTAAAAAATCCTTTCTTCTACATATTTACCTGGTCTTTTCTCCTCAGTCAGTTGGCATATTTCATCCCTACTTTTCACCTGGTGGCCAGAGCCAGAACACTGGGGATTGACATCCTGGATGCCTCCTTCCTCGTTTCTGTAGCTGGTAAGAAAGCATACTTCAAACTCAAAAGGAAAGATGAATTTTACAAAAATTTATTCGATTTTATAAAAAACTACAGAAAAACAATTTTTTAAAAAAAGGAATTATGGGAGGGCCAGGAAAAAGGAAGTCTTTTGAGGCCGGTGGGAGCACCAGGCATGTCCCTCCACAGACCTCTGTCTGTCACTGCACCTCGCACACAGGAGCTCTATACCAGACAGCGGCCCTTAAGTCTTGTTCATTTTCATGTCAGTGTCTGACACAGTACACATTATTTATTGCATAAATACTTGATTTTAAAAAGTTGGCAACAGCCACCTCCAGGAAGCAGGAAAATCATAGGCAGACTTTGGTTCTAGAGCTTAGACTTCCTGGGTTCACGTTTTGTTCTGTATTTCCTAGCTGTAGGACCTTGGGCAAGTTACTCATGTTCTCTGTGCCTCAATTTCCTCATCTGTAATACAGGGATAATAGTACCTATCCTCAAAAGGTTATCAGGATTAAATGAGCAATGCATGTAGAGTTTAGAATAGTGCCTGGCCCATCATAAGCATTCAGTAATGTTCTATTAGTATGGGTAGCTAAGTATTTTTCCCCCTGCACTCATAGTAAGACAGATAAATATGCCTGTTAAAGTCATGCACTAATGGACTGGGCATCATTTTTTTTTTTTAAATTAGAGTATTAAGTTAAAAATGAAAACTACCATTTTAGTTGAGTATTTATAAAAATGTAAGGAAGCAAAATGCTTAATTCAAAAGAGGTGGATTCTCTCAATGGACAAAATAGCCTAAAAAGATGGAAAGAATTGACATGGAATGGGACTATTCTAAATATGTGGAAATTCTATGTAGCTTGATGTTAACTTTTCTCTCCCTAATTTCTTGAAAAGACTGCTTACACAGTCCTTATAAAACTGACTATACGCCATTCCAACTGCAAAGACACCGCACTTCAGTCAACTAAAGCTTGTGTACACAAGAAAAAGATACATAGCTGAACTGCTTTTTTTATTAAAATGTCCGGTAGTCATCAATTAGATCAGATTAGGCTATGCAATGGGACCAAAGAACATAACAAAAAGTTTCCATATGTATCCTAGGAAGTAACTGTAAAAACAGAAATAGTATGCATTTTCTGCCCCCCACCCTTTTTTGTGAAGCAATTTAGGAAGAATTTACAGTACAAAGCAACTGTAGCTCATGCTACTCTTGGTGAAAATGTTCTATTATTTAACAGCTACATTAGTTTATAATCGATAAAAAATAAGAATATTCTGTTATCATGAAAGAAAAATACGATTCTCAAATTTTATTCAAGTTTACACCATAGCTCCAATGTTCAAAATGATCACACATTTCCAGATTTCCTACTTATTTCCAAAAAAAGCAAAACAAAACAACAAACAAAACAGATTTCCTACCTATTTCCAAGCATAATAACCTTTAGAGGAGCACTTAATTACCAAAACCTCATGTACAACCATAAGAAAGAGTCCCAACATCTATTTTTTTTTCAACGTAAGACTTTATTATTTATAATGTCCAGTCTTCCACCATCTTACTCCCCAGCACACTGCCCAGAGGGTCTACCAGTCTTTTAGAACTCTCACTCCCTCACCTGCAGGACCTCTTTGAGGAAGGCCTCCTGAGCGCTGGGGTCTCTGTAACCAGGGATTCCGTTAGGTGGTACAAGCTTTCCAAACCCGATGAGGAAAAGAAAAACAAAACAAAACAAAACACCTGAGGGGTCTTCTACCCAACTCTGGAGGAGTCTTTTTTGACATTGTATTAGATGTATTTGGAGTAGTTAAATAAATGATTGAATCTAATGACAGACAGATGAGACCATTTTCTGCTCATATGTCCTCACCTCAGGAAGAAGTCGTATTACTCAGGAAAAGAGGTCTTATGCAGTTACCCTTTCCAAAGGGGCTAGGGAAACGGAATTCGGATTTCCTAAGGTCTTCTCAATCTTGTTCCAGGTATCACTGAGGCAGTCAGTCAGATAATGTCTGGATGGGTTGCTGATCAAAACTGGATCAAGAAGTATCACTACCATAAGTCTTACCTCATCCTCTGCGGCATCACTAACCTCCTTGCTCCTCTGGCGACCACATTTCCATTACTTATGACCTATACCATCTTCTTTGCCATTTTCTCTGGTGGTTACCTGGCAATGGTACTTCCTGTACTGGTGAGTAGACATACTCATTAACACTGTTAGACCATTCAGAAAAAAGCACGTATTAATAATAACCTCCCCAAAGAGATTACATATTTTGTGTTAATTTTTATAATTAAAAAAAAAAAAGCGTTTGCAAGGCCTCTGAAACCCTGTAGCTGCATCCTGTCCAGTTTTCATCTTACCTTTGGGGGAGGAATGGTGAGAGAACATATATGAGACAAAAAAGAAATGAAAGCAAAAAGGGGATCAGCAGGATTTCACTTTGTTTCTCAGTCCCCCAAAAGGTTAGGTTTGTGTTTGTTTCCTTCAGCTCCAGAAATTTCCTTGGCTCCTTCTAAGACACCACCTTGAGGAGTTCCTTGAGAGAAAAAGGGACTTCCTGACCAGCGTGGCTTCTCTCTCTTGTTAAGAGTAGTTCTATGTACTTGAATAGGGACATCGTTCATTTCCTCTCTACTTTCACCCCAAATTGACTTAAAGTCCTGGGCCCAAAGGAATGGAAATACTTACACAAATACTTCATGGATTCTTCTGGCCTGATGTCAATATTCGCATAAGGGCTGTAGGATATTATATGCTTATGTAAAAACCAAACTTTCTAAAGCTGAAATCAACCTGGAAAAACTGACTTCTTACAACCAATGGCTGGTGTTTAGCCATAGGTGGATTTGAGAATACCACTGTCAGCTCAGAATGTAAATACCATTTCCTAATAGAGAAGAGCCGTGAGGATCAGGGAAGAAAGGTACCCCTGAGTTGTCTCAAAGATTTAAAATAAGAAGCCTCATGTTCCTTACTAATAAAATGAAAACACTGCCTGCCTGGCACAATAACTCTTCCTTGTTTGCCTCAGCGCTTGTAGAATATCAAGGCAAAAGGCCAACCAAATCACCTCAGAAGTCAATCGTTCATAGTATTTATCTCTTTGTAGGCACAGGTCTCTACAGAGTTTCACCTTCAGTATGGCTAACACTGGATTCTAATCCCTACAGGTTGATCTGTCTGGGAATTCTAGAGTACACGGGTTCTTGGGACTTGCCGGTTTCTTTGCTGGGATGGCTGTCCTTTCTGGACCACCCATAGCAGGTAACAGCTTAGCTATATTTTGAGCAAACTTCAATAGCTAAAAGAAAATGCTGATCCATTATGAATGGTAACATGCAATGACAGTATCAGGTTAAAAGCCTGATGAGATCTCTGCTGTTCCTACACTCACTTTGACATCCCATCACCAACCCAGGAGAATCTGAGGATTCACTCAACAGATAATAAGAGGTTAATTAAGCAGCTTCTTAGAGTATCTTGGGAGTCTCAGAGCAGGGACTGTGTGTATATCTACTTGCCTAGGGAGACAATCCAGAGTTTTAGAAGATTCTCAAAGACTGATGATGCCTTAAACAAACCAACCACTAGCATCTTTTATCTGAGCAGGAGTCATTACAGAGCTTGAAGGCTGCCTGACCCCTCTGCTCTTCAGATGTGCTACTACACAGCTTGTCCAGGCTTCCCAGCATCTCTGATTTTCCAAGAGGGATGATGGAGGCCCTTCATACTCTGTCTGGTCCGAAGGTGGAAGGATACTTGGCCTACAGGCCAGAATCTCTGTGGAGAGGATGTGTGGGGCCCGCCACTGGTGAATATTAAATACAAGCACAGGAAAAATTGGGGGAGTTCTGATATTTAAGCTAGCTTTAAGACTAAAGCATTGTTTTGTATGCAGGTTTAACTTAAATGGACATTCCGTGCTTGCTGAACATTTAATCCAAGACTCTCAAAAGACTACTCACACAGAAATATTTCGAGGGAACAGACTTAAACTTTAGTATTTTACACACTACAGGTTCTCAATGTTTAAATGTCTAAATTACTACAGCATTTCCAATCATCCACAAAAATGTATTCAGCCTAAAACTTCCTTTTACTTCCTTCAGTCCTGAAGTGAAACAGAAAAAAATACAATCTTGCCTATCTTTGTTTAAAAACTAAATACTATTTAGGTTTGCACCTAAATGTAAGACCTAGAAAAGGCAAACAGCAAAAGGGAAAGTATAAAATTCATAACAAAAATGATTATTGGATGGAAAAAAACACACCATTATATGAGGTTCAATTTAGGTGTATCACTTCTAAGGAAAAGTTTATACAAATATACAACCAACTCCTACTTGTGTTTATGAGCCCACCTCTGCCCATGTGGTCTAGCTCAGCCTACACCTCACACCTGGAAAGCAGGCTCGAATTTTAAAGTCAGGCCCAGGACTGTGACGTAGGGGCTGGTAACAGGAGACTAACACCAGATGTGCTTAGCAGAGCAGCTCTACGGCTGGTGCCCAGGTCCGCGAGCTAGAAAAAACAACTCAAATATAGCTTGCCGATGCATTTTCTCAATCTTGATCCTTCTTCAATGGCCATCCCCGTGATGCCTTGAAACTTTCCAAGCCTATTAGGCCCAAAATATAGGGAGGTAACAAATACCAGGGCACAGAGTATCTTATTCAAAAGATAAAAACGTGTAACATGTTTAGAGATTTCAAGTTTTGTATGTCTTTATAGATATCTTAAAATGTTTATTATTTTAAAAATTAGAGAGAGAGAGAGAGAGAGAGCACGTGTGCACGAGTGGGGGCAGGAGGGGCAGAGGGAGAGGGAGAAGCAGGCTCCCCGCTGAGTGTGGAGCACTAAGCGGGGCTCAAACCCAGGACCCTGGGATCACGACCAGAGCTGAAGGCAGACCCTTAAACAGACTGAGCCATCCAGGCGCCCCTACATCTTAAAATGTTTAAAGAGTTCAATACATGAGAAGACAAGGCAAGTTTTGTGAGGACTATTACTCTAAAGGGAAGAACTACAGATGTGTGTGTGGGTATTGAATCAATTTGTTGGGTCATGATCTTTTAAATTTTTTTAATGAAAAAGAACAGATGAGGGCTGCCTGGGTAGCTCAGTCGGCTGAGTGTCCAACTCTTGGTTTCAGCTCAGGTCGTGATCTCAGGGTCCTGGGATCAAGCCCCGTGTCAGGCTCCGTGCTCAGCATGGAGTCTGCTTAAGTTTCTTTTTCCCTCTGTCCCTCCCTGCTGCGCTCGATCTCTCTCTCTCTCTCTCTCAAAAATAAATAAATACTTATTAGGAAAATAAAAATAGACTACAACAGAACAGATTAAAAAACACTGTGCATCACTTTATTTTAAATGTTTAGTTCATACATACACACACACACACCTATGTCACATAAAATATATGTGATGTAAAACACATTTCTTATGGTCAGTGAGTCAAAAAAATTTACAAGCCTTTTATTACCCAACATCCACAATACCCTAGCACTATATGTGAGGATAAGGAGAGCTCATGAAAGAATTTTTACCTACCAATTCTGAGAATATTATCTAGGCAATCATTATTTTATAAATTCTACAAAATAGTCAAAGGAAGTGATAAGGCTGTTGCTGATAGCCTATATATAGATTTTTAGTCTAGGAGTTGCTCACGGTATCTTAAACAAGATTAAAATAATACAAAATTCAGTTAAATTTCCTTCTCTATACCTTGATCTCTCATTGACTGCAACGCTGTGCTAAGCATCTTGTTAAAGGGAGAAACTTCAGTAAAGTCCTTACTCATGTAAGCCATTCCTCTGTGAAACAACAAAGAGAATTTTACAAAGGCCATTAGACTTGTTCCTAACTTTTGACTCCAGCAGCAAGGACCAAAGAAACATCAAAGATGTTGATTTACGAATCACTCAGCTCTCGACAGGTATGGGCAGTCACTTTATCATCTTCAGCTTTAACTAAATCAAAAGGCTTACTGGTTATAAAGTATTACATTCTCAACCAAACTTAAGATTTTCTGAATGTAGGAGATGCTCATTTTGTACTTACCTAGATCTGTTATTATCAAATCGCAGAAGTTGAAATTCCTACAAAACATTACAGGCATTTTAAAATTAGGAATCTAGCAAACAGTAAAATTTTTCACAATAACCCTCAGTTAACACTAGTTAAAAACTGTAACATCAATTACATTAACAGTATTTTTCTCCTTCCTGTATAGAAATGAAAAAGAAAAACAAGTTAGTCCTACACAGCATGTTTTTTTAAAGACTTTATTTATTTGACAGAGAGAGACACAGCGAGAGGGAACACAAGCAGGGGAGAGGGAGAAGCAGGCTTCCCGCCGAGCAGGGAGCCCGATGTGGGGCTCAATCCCAGGACCCTGGAACCATGACATGAGCCAAAGGTAGACACTTAATGACTGAGCCACCCAGGCGCTCCCCTATACAGCATATTTTAATAATTCGAGGAAAGAAAAAAAAAAAAAAGCGTAAGAAACCCAAAGGAATCATACGACTGAGTTTTTAAAAAATATTTTTTTTTTTTTAAATATAAATAGAGGGGCGCCTGGGTGGCTCAGTCATTAGGTGTCTGCCTTCGGCTCGGGTCATGGTCCCAGGGTCCTAGGATCGAGCCCCGCATCAGGCTCCCTGCTCGGCAGGAAGCCTGCTTCTCCCTCTCCCCCTCCCCCTGCTTGTGTTCCCTCTCTCGCTGTGTCTCTCTCTGTCAAAAAGATAAATAAAATCTTAAAAAAAAAAGTCAATAGAGCATATGGGCAAGAAAATTATTTATATACCTTCATTAACTCTGAATATGATAAGAAACATAGTAGCAACAAAATGTATCAGATCTCGAATGAAAATGACAGGGACTGAAATGGAAAAAAGTGAAAAATTACTCCCCATACACACAGAGCTTCTTCCACCCCACAGCCCCTGCTATCCCTTTCTAACACTCCATGACAAACTCAGTGTTAGTTAACAATAGGATCTGCTTTAGATTAGGACAGTTTTTTAGGATTGTTCTAGGTTTCCTGACCTAGGGTGGTCAACAGACCTAAGTGCAGGCCAAATGTCACTGCTCATCCAAACCCAAGTGCTATTTTTTGCTGGTGGATGGCATCCAGAGCTACAAATTGGCCCAGATGGAAGCCTTAGAAGGTTGTAGAAAAATAAAAAGTACTGATATTTTAAAACCTTATATTTCTATTTAATCTCTGTTAACAAAAATGAACCTGCAAAAAGCAATATAAATACAAAATTCATGCCTTAAGCAAACAAAGCCTATAATCATACTCACCAACATATAAGTAGGAACGTGAAATTTCTAATCTTGTATCCAAGGCATTTGATATGTGAGCCCAAAAATGCTAAAGGCTCAGTTTCACTTAAAAATAAAACCACCAAGGTTTTATTAGCTGCCTATAAAATAAAACTGAATATGCAGTTCCCCTCTTTTCCACATACCCTACCCATTGCCAATTGATGAATGCCTATATTATGTGAATACATATATTTTATACATATTTAAACCAATCACAAATATAATCTGAAAACTCCCTTAAACCACCCTCAATAATTATTTGATCATAACTCAGAATTCATTCAATAATTATCAAGCAACTTATTAGCATAGCACACACCCAGCTGCTATGGGGAACACAGAAAAGACAAAAGTTATTCTCTTATATTCTCTTAGAGTTCTTCCATAGCACCTTGGGTCATGGCACAGCACTGTCATACACTGCCAGAAATTAATACCAAGGACAGCAGTCTAGAACCTGTAAATTTAGAATTATTAGAATGTACATTCTTTCTCTACTTCATTAATTGAAAATTTGGTTAAGTCACTATAACTTGGTTATTGTGAAAACTGGTTAACTCTGTTTTACCTTTTTTTTTTTTAGTTTAATTTAAATTCAATTAATTAACATATAGTGTATTATTAGTTTCAGAGGTAGAGTTCAGTGATTTATCACCCAATGCTCATTACATTACATGCCCTCCTTAATGCCCATCACCCCTTTACCCCACCTCCCAACACCCCTTCCCCTCCAGCAACCCTCAGTTTGCTCCCTATGGTTAAGAGTCTCTTATGGTTTGTCTCCTTCTCTGATTTCATCTTATTTTATTTTTCCCTCCCTTCCCCTATGCTCCACTGTTTTATTTCTTAAATCCCACATATGAGTGAAATCATGTAACTGTCTTTCTCTGATTGACTTATTTCACTAAGCATAATATCCTCTAGTTCCAT